AGTTCTTTGCCATGAGGTGCCATGTTGAACTTCCAGTGACCAGTATGAGAGAGTGTGAGAGCGATAACAACAAATTTAACACACCTGCTCCCCATTCACACCCGAGACCTTGTAGCACTAACGAGTCACATGACACCAGGGAGGGAAAATGGCTAATTGGGCCCAATTTGGACATTTCCACTTAGGGATGTAGACACGGTTTAGACATTAATGGCTGTGTGTTGAGTTACTTTGAGGGGACAAATAATTTACACTGTTATATAGGCTGTAAACTTTACATTGTTGCAGAGTGCCATTTCTTCAGTGTTGTCTCATTAAAAGATATAATAAAATATTTACAAAAATGTGAGGGATGTACTCACTTTTGTAAAATACTGTATATGTGTACACTTGTATATTTATGTGTTTGTATATGTATTGGCATTGCTACTTACTCTAATTCTGTTCTCATAGCTTCCATATTCTGTGAGGTATGACTCTAATAGTAAATTGTTTTTTAGAATTTCTCCATACAGTTGACAATATTTTTCCTTTGTCATAATTACTGGATGCTATACAATGTTCTGTATAGAAATGTATTTGGTGTTTATATTTGAGTAACAGATAGCTCACATACTGGTGTAATTATTAACATAACTGTCATCTTCTAGCCTACTTTATTTACATCTATATTAGATGCCTCTGATGCTTGCTTCTGGTATGGTTGTAAACATATGCCATTTTCTTTAAGTAAATAATTTTTTTAAAACCCCATAGAAATAAATGAATAACTGTAAATGCAAGGAGGCGATAGAAAAGACCTAGGCTTACCCTTGCAGGTGCAGGCTAAGTACTGGCTGCAAGCCTAGACGTTCACTATGTCTATTGCCAGCCTGAGATGCAATGGACCAACAGCCATCCAGCCCAGAATGCCCTCAACTGAATGAAAACTGATACTATCCCCTCTTACCAAAAGGCAAGCAACAGGAGAGCAAAAAAAAACATTTACTCACACTCAGAAACTACGCACAATACCCAGCCACACTCAAACTCATCTATATGAACACAACACTCCTCCACAAACAATGCATCACACACACAACACTCAACCAGCATACACAGTCACACTCAGCACCCCAACATACAACTCTCCCACACACATACAACACTCAGTGACCACACACACACACACACACACACACTCACAGAAAAAAAGCCCATGGCTTTAGTATGGTGCCACAATCTGGCATCTTGCTTAGGGCCTTGGACAACCTTGGCCCAGGCTGTGTTGGGATTGTGGATTTTGTGCAAGGAATTAAGGTATGTTTGGACTTATCAAAGGGACACTATAGGGTCAGTAACACAAACATTTATTCCTGACCCTATAGTGCTAAAAACCACCATCTAGGCCCTGTGGCTCTCCTTTGCCACCCTACAATTAGTAAAATCTTAATTTTGTTCAAGTCTGTGTCTGCTGGCTCTGCCCATGATCTGCCTGCTTGGCTGACATCATCAGATGTGAATCTCCGAGCCAATCACAATGCTTTCCCATAGGATTGGCTGAGACTGTCAAGGAGGCAGATCAGGGGAAGAGCCAACACAGGTCAAACATAGTCCTGGCTAATTAGTATCTCCTCATATAGATGTGTTGAATCAATGAATAGGGAAAGTTTAGTGTCTCCAAAAGCAGAGGGTGGAGACACCGAATGGCAGTGATGCTGTCTCAGGAAGCATCTCTAGTAGCCATCTGAGGAGTGGCCAGTGGAGGTATCCCTAGGCTGTAATCGAAACACTGCATTTTCTCTGAAATGACAGTGTTTACAGCAAAAGGCTGGTGTTTACAGCAAAAGGCTGAAGGGAATGATTATACTCAATAAGTATACAATAAGTTGTTCTGGTGACTATAGTGTCCCTTTAAGATATGTCCCAGTTATGCTAGTAGCATAGAGGGTTTAAGAAAAAAATAAATGAATACCAAATTTTCTGAAAATGTCTGTACAGGTTAAAAAAATAAAATAAAAATTACACTGTTATATAGGCTGTAAACTTTACATTGTTGCAGAGTGCCATTTCTTCAGTGTTGTCTCATTAAAAGATATAATAAAATATTTACAATATTGTATATATATTAATAAACACTGGCTTGAAATAGATTTTTTAAACTGTTAATACGTGATGGAAATTTTATTTTACTTATTCTCTACAACATAATGACAACAAGGGGGAGATCTAAACAGGGAAAGAAAGATCATAATGGAACGATAAAAAGATAAATGATAGAGATATGCAAATGTATTGTTGTCCATAGAATGAATAACAATGTTAAGGTGTTTAAAGGCACAATTATTACCAATTAAAATGTTTTAAAATGTTGCTAGAAAAAACCCACTAGAGCATTGAACTAAAAATATACCTCATTTTTTCTGTAATACATTGTCGATATATGTACTATGATATGGCTTTTGCACAAGCCTAACAATGTTAATTTACCATGCGATCTGCCATTGCAAAAATAAAGAATTAAAAAAATGAAATATATATATATATATATATAAATACCTCCTTCCAAACTGAATATTCTTTCCCCAAGTGCATCCACTATGTCTTTCAAGGCAGCCTCATCGGTTACATTGAAGAAGTGCTTTTCATCAGGGTCACTGGCAATGAATTTTATTTCATTCAGGAATGCTTCAGGGTTAATACCTCGTCTATTGTAGTAGCCCAGAACCTGAGAGTACAAAAGATAAAGTACTGAGCTACAATATGTATCACGAGTAAAGAAGGCAGTGGTTTCAGATGAATCATGGATTTACTGTAGCCCATATAGCCATGGGAGAACTGAAAATTCTTCTGAAAATTTAAACGGAGAGAGAGGTGTATAAGAACGCCTGTTTGTACAGTTTTGCAGTAGTGAAGTGACAGGCAGGAATTGTGCAAGGTTTATGCTAGCCCAACACTGTGTAGGCTTGTGTATGGGCTAATTTCCGAATTTCGGAAGTGCTGAACCAAACCGAATTGCTGAATCTTTTTTACTTACCCGAATTTCCGAACTGAACCGAACCTAATTTTTTCCCCATGCACATCCCTAAAATCTATCATATCACTATATATTGCATGCTCCACATATGTAGGGACATCCATAGTGAGGTCTGAAATCTATGTGCAAAAAAGGCAATAGGTTTCTTCTTGCCCCAGGCCATGAGTTGCCAGACCCCCACTGTGATGGACCACCTTGCAACCCAACCGGGTACCTCCGGCAATTGCTGCTTCCTAATAATCCTTGAGTACCATATGCACAGCACCGGACACCATAACCACCATTAACCCCAGCTTGGTTGGGGTCTCGCTGTCCTCCACCCACCCTGGACCCAAGACCAGGATCCAGCTTCCAGTGGGTAGACCTCTCCTAGTCTAGAGAGCAAAACAGGCTGCTCTTACAAGAGCAATCATTGTAATCCAAGGGAGCATAGTGATTATAGAAAGCCCCAGAGTGAATATAGCTCTCCAAGCCCCCAAACATGAGCCTAGACTTCATGAAGGGTAAAACGAATCTGTTTAACCCCTTAAGGACACATGACATGTGTGACATGTCATAATTCCCTTTTATTCCAGAAGTTTGGAAGGGGTTAATGGCAGCCACAACTGGCCTTATATGCAGGTCCCCATGCAAGGGGTACTCCCCCCTGGACCTGCGAGTAGACTACAATCACCTACTATTCCTGTATAGCACACATGTTGTATTAGAATTAAATGTTTGTCCTGTTTACTTATTGCACAGCACCGCAGAATATGTTGGCGTTCTAGAAATAATTGTATATAGATATCTGTATGCAGTATGTTCACATTGCAATTACTGTTCAGGTAAGTTCAAGCAAGTCACATTAATTGTGAATAGCAAGCTGCTATGGAACATTTCTCCAATGAGTCCTGCATCACCGCAGGCTATATAAGATTGGTGTTGTCTGATAGCCTACAGGTTCTAATATTCTCCCACAATGTCTGCTGTCATTTTAGAAGCTGCATTGGGGTTAACTACTGGCAAGCATCACCAGTAAAATAGCCTTGGCAGTGGTTAAAGTATTTCTTGCTGGACGGACATGCATGAAAACAGAGGTCAGTTTATAACTCACTGCTACTGCATAGCGTGTTATGTTGTCCTTTTCGCTGCACTCTATCACCCTCTCCAAATCTTGATTATCATGTGACTCTCCATCTGTAATAACGATCATCACTTTTTTGGCTCCCTTCCTTCCACCATGCTGAAAAGCCTCGGTACTGCAAGAGACCAAAAAATTATTATACACAGAAACTTGCATGCTATAAACAGCGAGCCATGTAGACGTTATACCATGCTAAAACTGGCACACTGTATTATAACATACCGAGAGTGGCATGCAGTGTGTATATACTCAAATACATTATCACACGGTTACTGGCATGCAGTGTGTATATACTCAAATACATTATAACTCACTGTTACTGGCATGCAGTGTGTATATACCCAAATACATTATAACGCACTGTTACTGGCATGCAGTGTGTATATACTCAAATACATTATAACGCACTGTTACTGGCATGCAGTGTGTATATACCCAAATACATTATAACACACTGTTACTGGCATGCAGTGTGTATATACCCAAATACATTATAACACACTGTTACTGGCATGCAGTGTGTATATACCCAAATACATTATAACACACTGACATTGGCTCACTGTATGTATATACAGAGAGGGAAAAATTTATTTAATGCCCTGTTGATTTTTAACGTTTGTCCACTGACAAAGAAATGATCAGTCTATAATTTTAATGGTAGGTGTATTTTAACAGTGAGAGACAGAATAACAAAAAAAAAAATCCAGAAAAACGAATGTCAAAAAAGTTATAAATTAATCTGCATGTCAATCAGTGAAATAAGTATTTGATCCCCTATCAATCAGCAAGATTTTTGGCTCCCAAGTGCCTTTTATACAGGTAACGACCTGAGATTAGGAGCACTCTCCTGGCACCGGGAGGCGGGAGCCCTATAAATGTGTAAGTGGTTGCGGTGGCAGTCCTGGCACTGGGAGGCGGGTCCCCTTAGATGTGTAAGTGATTGTGGTGGCAGTCCTGGCACTGGGAGGCGGGACCCCTATAGATGTGCAAGTGGTTGTGGTAGCAATCCTGGCACTGGGAGGTGGGCATATGGGCAGAGGGCTCCTAGTGCTTAGACTGCTACCACAACCACTTACACATCTATAGGGCACCCGCCTCCCAGTGCCAGGACTGCCACCACAACCACTTACACATCTATAGGGCTCCCAGTTCCCAGACTGCCACCACAACCACTTACAAATCTATAGGGCTCCAAGTTCCCGAACTGCCACCACAACCACTTACACATCTATAGAGCTCAAGCCTCCCAGTGCCTGGACTGCCACCACAACCACTTACACATTTATAGAGCTCCCAGTGCTAGGAATTAGCTTATTGGTCAAGATTTCTGTCATCATGCACGGAATTTTCCCTCCTTCTCTCTTGTTTTGAGACTTTTCCAAAATCCGAAGCACTTTGGCACTTCCGAACTTCGGACATTCGTAAGCATCAGAATGTCAGAATTGCATGAAATTTGTCCGAATGTACATTCAGAACGAAACGAATTTCACATGTCTAATTATGACTTACTGAGAGTGGCATGCACTTTGTATATACCCAAATCCATTATAACGCACTGATAGTGACTTGCACTTTGTATATTCCCAAGTCCATTATAACGCACTATTATAAGCATGCAGTTGGTATATACCTAAATACATTAGAACACACTGATAGTGTCACGCTGTATGTAGAAACCCAAACACAGTATAACATTGATACTGGGATGCTACAACTCTACCGCAGCCACCTATTATAAGAATAAAGATCACCAAGCCTTCGTAGCAGCACGTATGATTTGTACATATGCACATGTAATCTTTATCATATTACAGTAATGTTCCAGTGTTTCAGTTCCTTACCATGCTTTTTCAATTCCCAGAGCTGTGCGTGTCTCTGTCCCTCCTCTTTGCTCAATGCTTTTCGCAGCCTCTACCACTTCAGTCACAGAGCGAAAGTCGTTCAGATGAAACTCATGTACCACGTCTTCTCCATACTGAAGTACTCCGACCTGTCAGGAAATGAAAAGGGACTCTGCGGATCACTGCAGCATCTACACATGTGGCTAGGAAGCTGAAGTAAGAGCTTTTGGATTACCTGTATTTGCCCAGGTGCAATGTAGAATTTCTGTAGAATACTAATGAGGAAACCCTGTACTTCCACCCAGGGGTAGATACTGTTGGACCCATCCAACACAATCACGATATCCATGAAAGTTGGACACCCTGAAACGAATAATATCATCATAGAGCAAAGAATAAAACTGAATAGAGTAAGCAGTTTTGTGTAACACTTGTTAGAATTTGCCAGTACTTCAAAATACGGTACTTTAAAAAAACAAAAAACACTTAAATAGTCATTAAGACACATTTTTGTATGATCAGGTCATTGTACAAGGGCAGAATCTGCCGAGCTAGAATATGTTGTTCTTCTAGAAATAATAAGTGATGGAATCTGGGGCTCGGTATGCGTAGCGTAAAAGTAATTGGTAAAATATTGCACGGCAATAGTACTGAAAGGGTACAAGAGAGTACTTAGAAAGGAGAACTGCTTCCCTTCGGTCGGTCCCCGCTCAGATCTCAAGCTGGTTTTAGCATCTTAAAGCACCACTAAAGTGCCAGGAAAACATACTCTTTTTCCTGGCACTATAGTGCCCTGAGGGTGCCCCCACCCTCAGGGTCCCACTCCCGTGGCGCTGAAGGTGGAGCAAGGGGGTTAAATCACTTACCTTCCTCCAGTGCCGGGCTCCCTCGGTGCTGGGGACTCTCCTCCCTCTTCTTCCGTCACCAGCTGAATGCGCATGTGCGGCAAGAGCCGCACGCGCATTCAGTCAGTCCATAGGAAAGCATTCTCAATGCTTTCCTATGGATGCTGGCGTCTTCACACTGAAAATTACAGTGAGAAGTGCCGAAGCGCCTCTAGCGTCTGTCAATGAGACAGCCACTAGAGGCTGGATTAACACATAGGTAAACATAGCAGTTTCTCTGAAACTGCTATGTTTACAGCAGGCAGGGTTAACACTAGATGGACCTGGCACCCAGACCACTTCATTAAGCTGAAGTGGTCTGGGTGCCTATAGTGGTCCTCTAATGTAAATTTAAACAAAAACAGAGCATATTATGGAAAAAAAAGATTATAGGTGATTTTCATTGTTTTAGTCAATGTGTAAATTCCAGAAAAGTGATGTTCCCCTTTAATAAACTTGTGTATTATCTGACTTCTCTAAATGCTTTCACTCTAATTCTTCAATAAGCCAATATTCCAGTTTTAATATATGAATGATCTGCCTCATGTTTCTAAGTGAAGCAGGTAGATCACTATACTTACTCTGTAGAGCAGGGGCCACTATTCTAGAGAAACGGAAGTTGGAGTTGACTCGGGAGCACATTCCTGTGGTGTAATAAGAACTTCCACATTCATGGGACCAAAGAGGGCTGCAAGCCTAGGGACAGAGAAGGAGAACATGCTGAAAGAGAGATGGGGGATACAGGGTAACATAACATATTGAAAAATAACCAGGCAAACAATAGAATGGAGAAGATACATTTTACATGCCAGAACTGAGAGTACTACAGGAGCACACCAGACTGGCTAAAGGGGGGATGGTAGGAAGTACTGTACAATGAGCACATAATGGTTATACCATGAGGAGAGGATATGCTTAGATACATTTAAAATGTTGCTGTCTATTTTAAACCCTGATAGTCACTACAGTAACACAGATATGATGCTGGATTCAAAAGACTCAATGCAATAGCATTATTATATCATCATATTATATATTAATGACAATGTGTATAATAATGTCACTCTTGGGATGCAGAAGGTACAAGTAAATTTAAGTATTTTTCTATTTGCTGTATTGGTAAAACGGCATTTACTGTAACCTGAGGATGAGACATGCTGTATTGGTAAAACACTAGGTACTGTAAGCTAAAGATGGGGCATGCTGTATTGGTAAAACGCTAGGTACTGTAACCTAAGGATGGGGCATGCTGTATTGGTAAAATTCTAGGTACTGTAACCTGAGGATGAGACATGCTGTATTGATAAAACACTAGGTACTGTAAGCTAAAGATGGGGCATGCTGTATATTGGTAATACGCTAGGTACTGTAAGCTAAAGATGGGGCATGCTGTATTGGTAAAATTCTAGGTACTGTAACCTGAGGATGAGACATGCTGTATTGGTAAAACACTAGGTACTGTAACCTGAGGATGGGGCATGCTGTATATTGGTAAAATGCTAGGTACTGTAACCTGAGGATGAGACATGCTGTATTGGTAAAATGATAGGTACTGTAAGCTAAAGATGGGGCATGCTGTATATTGGTAATACGCTAGGTACTGTAACCTGAAGATGGGGCATGCTAAGGAGAGGATTCTGTAAACAGAGGATAGGAGGTGCTGTATGGAGAGGATGCCTATAGGCAGAGAATAGGGCATCATTTTTTATACTGATTTGCTTCTGCAAGAAGACGATATGACTTTATAGGTATAGGCAATACGAGCCTGCTTCATGGAGACTGTAGGTTATTCTGCATGGGTTTAATGGGTTACTCAAACATTGAGATTGCAGAAGAGGACTAGGATCTAGGAAGAGGATAGAAAGATGTGAGACACTGCAATTCTGGCAAGGCTTCTGGGGTTCTAAGAAATATCACATCTCTTTCTACGAAATAAGTGTGCAACAAAGAAAGATGGAGTGCATTGTAGCCTGTAAGCAAAGGATGAAACAAGCATGCAAGGTATTATGGAAGATGAAAATGGGGTGTGGAGTTGTGTTGTACAACTGTATAATAGGAAACATAACTCTTTAAAATAATGGGACATGGTGCATTTATTATGGAGGGTGCTGTAAGCAGTCATGTAAATACTGTATGGCAAGCAGATTTTCTTTGGAAGAAGAGAATTTTCTTTTGTACTGCAGATTATGCACAAGTGCAGGTGTCAGCATCAAACTTTTTACAACATGGAACACTATCAAACATTTATACCGTATTCCATATTTTATGGCATAACTGGGGGAGGCATAGTTGACCCCCTACCTTATCCAAACCAAGTGCCTTTAGTACATTATTAAAAATAAATAAGCTTAGTCAGCCTGTGTAGTAGCCTGGTGTCTGTTCCAGGGTTACTTGCAGGTTTTAGTTTGATTCAGGAGAGACTAGTACATGGTAGGAGGACACAATATTTACTTCTACAAGGGGATAGGAGACATGTCAATCACAGACCATACTGTTATCAGATGTGACCTTACCACAAAGCTGTTATCCTTAGGATTTGTGACTAAACTCATTCCCAGTCGCATGTTGTCCTTCCTCTCCGAGACATTGGACAGCGTCACCCTGCCTGAGAGACTTCAAATTACCATAGAGATAAGCCTTTGAGACCTCCAGAAAGACTTGAGAAACCTTTGAGTTACCGCAAAGAACAGCATAGTCACAGAACTTACCATAGAAACTGAAATGGAAATACATTCTATAAGAATGATAAGAGAAATAGCAAACAATTCGATATCTCCCTGCAAGTGTCTTTCTTTGTAAAAAACATTTTACTTTTTACTTCTACTTCCAGACTGAGAGAGTATTTCTAGTCCACATAACTTATTTCCTCTTTTGGCCAAAATGATGTTCCTCTCACTCCTATATGCAGGATGCACCATCACCATCTTCATCTCCCACCATTAGATGACTGCCTGGGAGCCAAGCTGTTACTCTCTAGCTTCTGTCAGATATAAACTCCCATCTATAAGGCTCTATGCATGAAAACAGTCATCAGAAAGAAATAGTTATTGAATATATTATTAGGTGTATTGATATACTCTTGAAAAAGGCACCTCAAAGCGCTGAAACGTGCGTCGAGTCTTGGCGCTTTTCTTTTTAAATTAGGACAGTTTTCTCTATGTAACCTTTCATTTATTGATTTATCTATGATTTGGGAACCACTTTAGGCAGTTAGCTCACTTGGACTTCACAATCTAGAACACATTTACTCTGGAATTTGGGTATATGTTATGGAAGTAGCTTTTTAGTGTATAATTTATACTACCTGCCTCTATGTCTGTGCATTCAGACACTTTCTGTTCTTTGATTTAGATAGAGACTATGGAGGAGGCTCCTACTTCTTCCTAAAATTTACTCTGTTCTAATATCCTAGGATTTCTCACTTATTACCAAGCAACCTTAGCTATTTAATTGGATATTGGATCCTATTTGGCTCTATCTCATTATATTTCGGGATACTAATGTCACACTAGGGGCACTGCATCCTTCCGGCGCGGGGGATTGCTATCAAATATACCTGCTACTAAAATTATATCTAAGAATATAGCATAATAGGTGTTTTTCTTTTTTCTTTCCCTCTGCTAATTAAAGTTGCGTTTGTCCCAGACATCGATCCTTAATCTGTGTTCCACGGCTATCGGTGGGAACAGTGGTCTTGGTATTTCTCTGGGATAACAATGTCACACTAGGGGCACTGCATACTTTTGATGCGAGGGAACGATATCAAACAGACCTATTACCCCTATACGGGTATAAGCAAGCTGCTCATTCATCTATTATTTTTTATTTATATATTTTTTCATTTATTTTTTCTATTTTCTTCTGCTTATGTTTCGATACTAAGTTTACAAACAGAGCATAATATATTAGGTGGCTATTTCTTTTCTTCCCCCTGCCAATCAAGTTGCGGTTACCTTAGACATCAATCCCTAACCTATACTCCACAGTTATTAGCGGTCACTGAGTAATTTTATATGTTTACTTCTATATCTATATGTTATCATATGTAATACATTAGGAACAATATATATGAATATACAATATCTGCACGTCCTAACCTCTTTTGATTATACTTATAATCATATATTCGCCTGTGGTTCCTAAGTGGATGTTACGGGAATAGTATTCTACTTATATAATTTAGCTCATACAATTTATTTTAGAACTATTCATGTACGCTTAAATATTTATACAGTCTACAAGAGTCTGTCCTTTTTAAATCACTTGCACGTTTTTTCCTTTTCCTTCTTTTTGGTTTTGTGTAAATGAGTCCATAGACTCTAACAAATATAATTCAATAAAGATCGTTTTTTACTTTTATTATACTACTATTCCTGGGCCTCACGAGTTAATATTACTATTGTGGGTACACCTCTGGGAGGATTTGGAGAGGAACGGCTCTATGCCTTCTATCCATTCTAATCCTCCGAGGTAATTTTTCTCCTCTATATTGATAGACCTAGTCTTGAGCAGGACATGGACAAGTCTAGTAAGAGCTAAACTCCAGATCAACACCTTCCACTGATGAGGGCTAGAAGGAACAATTGGTATATTTTCCAGAAGAGAGCAGTATCTCACTATGAAGAGTACTGGCATGTATTATGTAAAGGGTTTGCAAGTGGCTGCAGGATGGATGGAGACACTGGTGACAATGAAATTATGAGAAACATACACACTATGCATATCATACTGATGGAGGTTGCAAGAATATATGATGTCACACACTTCTTCTGTCAAATACATTTATCATCTGTGCCATGGACCATTCACAAAGACAAGAAAACTTCCATTGGTTGGTCTTGTCCCTCTGGCCAAAAGATGCCAGCCTTCCCCTCATTAGCATCTTCTAGAGCTCTGTCACCTACCTATCCCAAGTTTAGTGCAGTCACTGGAGGTCTCATTGCCAACCGGGCACTTGTAAATGTCTCCTGTCTTCTGAGCCCCATTCATTTCAAAGGGTGCTCCAACAACCAACCTGTACAGGAAAGCATAACAGAGTTAGGGATGCAGTCCGCAGTTACACAAATATTTAGCAACTAATATGTATGCATTTATGAGGTCTAAAAATACATTAAAGCATTGAAATCCACTCTGCTGTATTTAACTCTACCATGATATACAGCACCTCCATCTTGGCTTCCTGTTAATCATTGTTATATAAGCTCAGCATTGATCATGATATGTGGCATAATATTGATCATAATATGTGCTACCATACACTCACCCCATAGATGTTGCTAAGAGGGTGATTTGGGGTCTTAAACCCCAGGTGTAGGTCTCTAGTCCCAGATCTCTACAGGTAGTGAAAGGGTCTGGAGGATATTAGTGTTTTGTTTGTTTTTTTACATTTTAAATCAGGCAGTTGCTTCTCAAAGCAGCTTTCAGATATAAAAAGTAAGATCACGAGTATAGTGCTCCACCACGGGGCTACTAAGGAGGGGGATGGTGCCCTCCAAGTGGAGGGTGCTGAGGGAACGTTTTGGTGGGTTTGGGTTTGTTTAGTTAGGTGGTGGATGCTGTGAGCACATCTTTCGATCTCACTTTTCTAGTTAGACACAGTTTATATTATATTACTATTTCAATCTAACCTTTCTGCATATGAGCTTGTTTGTCCAGTGCGCACATGGTTGATGAGCAATCAGACGTCCCCAGTACTGGATCTTTCAGGTGAAAATGTAAACAGGAAAGTGTGGAGAGGTTGCTGGTTTAACACTTCAAATGCTCCATATTACTCAGCATGAAAGGGTTAAACATCTCCAAGAGTACCAATAGCCTTTACTCATCCAACTCCAAATATTCTGCTGACAAAGTGATCTATTTACTGAACAGTGAACTAGAAACAAAATAAAGATTTTTTTTTAAAAACGTGCTGGAAAACAAATTCTGTTCATTTGGATTTATTTCCAGCTTGCGCAGTTTAGCCTAAAGTTTACAAGTTGCTTATCAACCAATCAAAACTCGCTGTTTAGTGAAAATACCCCACATCTTATACTCTAGCTGGCAAACGAGGGAGCAAATTTCCCACACAATTTGGCCAGTAGTGATGTGCGAGATACCCTGCCAAGCTCTTCTGCTGAATCCAGAAGTGTGCGGCCATGTTCACTTAGACTGAATGCCCAAGTGGCTAAATTTGGATTCCTATACCACAAAACCTGGTTTATTGAAAAGGCCTCTAAGTCATTCATTATGGTAAGACTCATCTAATGTTAACTATTTCTTTTCCACAACAATCCACTAGGTTTGTTTGCCCTCAATCCTCCTCATTTGTTTGGCTGTGCATAAAACCAATATATGAAAACTTTGGAAGCTCCCCAAATGGACAGACGCAGCCCATAGACAGATAACATGTAAGGAAATGCATAAAACAGCTATAGAGTCCTAGTTTCACTGTTTTTACCAGACATGGAAGGAGCGAAGGACCCATAAACACATCATATGGAAAAATCAATAACTTGCATATGGCTTTTCCTCTTGCAAATAGTTAAATCCCACTATCCCTGCATAGTGCAATCTTGGAACTTACAAATAATAAAAAAAAATATTCACAGAACCACCTGTCACTGCTTATAAAACAAGCAGCCAATCTTTTGATTCGAATCTGGCTGCCATCTATGGAAACATTTGTATTAGGCACCTGCATGTGCCATAAGTGGGAATATAAAACTATAAGTACAATAGTGTAGGAACTGCAATCTACCAGGCATGCAATGGAAACAGCAGAGAATGCACAGACATATCAAGCAAAAACAACACACACACACACAGAGATGTAAACAATGCTGGTTATAATTTGGCCCAAAAAGCTAAGATGGAAAACATTTTTCAAATCAATTATACCACCAACTTTGTTTTTTAATTCTCTACAATTAAGCGGCTAAAAATGATGTGAACCACACAGTGAACACAATAAAACACATTGCCAATATAAAATGACACATGACACTTTCCAGAGAGAATGTCAGTTCCCTTCACCTAATAATAATAATAGTAACATTTTTAATTTGTTTGGAATTCATACATACCAATAGTTATTGCAAATCCAAGCACAAAATGGTAACAAATCATAAGATTTAAATAAAGCATTTTTAAAGTGTGCAGTTCATTATACACAATGCTTGATCTACTACAGGTACATAGTGATAAGTCTACCTCAGATACACAGTGGCACACAGAATGTACAGACCTAGTGTGTTTGACTCAAAGTAGGGTAACTTTTTTATTTTTAGTTGTGGTAGCTAGTGGTGTGGCGTGTAATTTTATTGCATTCTAAACATTTGATTACATTTATTCTAGACATGGTTTTAATTACATATTTTTTCATATAACATAAGTATTGCTATTGTTGAACAATATCAAGCCTCAGCATTTTTAATTACGGTTAGCCCAAGACAGCATTTTGCAGGCCTAGTCCAATCTGACGGTCACCTCGGTGCCGAATTAACTATTAAGCTTTTTCCTGTACATCCCTAACCTCTCACATCCAGAATTGCAGCTCGTAGTGTATACGACTCAGCACACAGATGTTGGGTTCATTCTTACCAGACACAGAGATTTTGGGATTCTGTCCATAAGTCTGAGGGACTTAAAGACAAAAGCCAAAATCTATTCAGCAAAACCATATGTGAAGAGTGTGAGGAGTTTGCTCATATGGGGATAACTGCACAATGGTTATCTTAAATATAATGATTAATTTCTGGAAAGCACAGACATAAGCTGGGAATTGAAGTACATAAAGAGGCACTGACCTATACAGACCTACATAGTACCCTATGAATCCCATTGCTATTCCCCCAAAACTCAGCATCTCATGCGGAGCACATGTGGCCTCATTGGTGACGGGGACATTCCAAAGCGACAGACATAAAGGAAGAACCTCCTAACATCTGGGCAAAGGGCACTGAGCCAGGAAAAAACGAGCAGCAGTAAACTATTACCCAGCAATGGGACAGAGCACAGAAACCATAACTGCGAGAGCTGCTCACTTTCATCCACTTTTGTCTTCTATCCAAGGGATCGAGAATGACATTGGGAAATAGTTTGATGTGTGAGCACCAGATAGGCTCATTATTATCTTTCATACTCACAAGGTTATTCACTAAAGTGAGAACTGTAGGGACTTCGAAGTAAATTTCAAATTTAAGGTTAAAATAGCTGAGTGTGAAAAATTCTCCAAGTCAGCTATGATTCCAGTTTGGCTAATTTGGCCTTAAATTTGAAATTCACTTTGAATTATCTTGAATTCCCAACAAGTACTGACAACATGCCATATATGAGATTCATTAATGACAGGGGGTTCAACCTTGGACAGTTTTATATACAACCCATAATTCTTTGCCTGCCGATGCCTGGATTTATATATATATATTTTTTTTAAAGACAAAACAAAAGAGGAGGATTCACTTCAATACATATTAAAACAAATGCAATTCACCTGCATGGCAGTATTTAACCTCTCACTGTCCACAAAACGGTTAATATATTTTATTCTAATGAAAACTTTAATTACAAAAACAAACACAATTGATACAAGTGACATCCCATTGTACAGCACTTCAGAATTTGCTGGCGCTATATAAATAATAATAAGACATGTTTACTATGTAAGTCATGGTGATAGTCATACTATGTGTAATGCTCTACAATGGATTAGAGTCTCTGCCTCTCCTTTTCTGGCCTTTGCATTGTTATGTCCAGGCATCATAACAGATCCAACTACCTGGCGTCACCTGGATCCCACCTTCTAATCAGCCCACTTCAGGGCTCGAGTCCTGCAGGAACGCATGGGAACGGCGTTCCTGCACTTTTTCCAAAGCAGGAACGCCGTTCCCGTTACCTGTCCTGCAGGACCGGCCCTGCTACCTGTACAGATGGTCCAGCACACGCTGTGTTCCTTCTCCAGCGATAACTCTCGCGAGACCCGCGGCTGTTACCATGGCAACGCTCCGCACAGGCGAGTCTCGCGAGAGTTAGAGCTGGAGAGGGAACACAGCATGTGATGGCCCCTCTGTGCAGCGGCTGGTTCCCTCCACCGGACCACCAGGCGATCTCCCCCCTCCCTGACAAGGTAAGAAGCAGGGAGGGGGGAATAAAATAAACACAAAGTAAGAAAAAAATGCTTCCCCTCCCCATCATCCAGCACTCACACACCCATCATCCAGCACTCACTCACACACCCATCATCCAGCACTCACACACACACCCATCATCCAGCACTCACTCACCCATCATCCAGCACTCACACACACACCCATCATCCAGCACTCACACACCCATCATCCAGCACTCACACACACACACATCATCCAGCACTCACTCACACACACATCATCCAGCACTCACACACCCATCATCCAGCACTCACTCACACACCCATCATCCAGCACTCACTCACACACCCATCATTCAGCACACACACACCCATCATCCAGCACTCACACACCCATCATCCAGCACTCACTCACACACCCATCATCCAGCACTCACACACACATCATCCAGCACTCACACACCCATCATCCAGCACTCACACACACACATCATGCAGCACTCACACACACACATCATGCAGCACTCACACACACACACATCATCCAGCACTCACACACCCATCATCCAGCACACACACACTCATCATGCAGCACACACACACACACACACATCATCATCCAGCACACACACACATCATCCAGCACACGCACACACTGCATTCATTATACACACCTTCACCTCACTACAAGCACACTACATTCACTATACACTACTACAAACACCACATTCACTATACACCCTCTGCATTCACTATACACATTCTGCACTAACTACACACTACATTCACTATACACACTCTATCTACTACAAACACACTACATTCACTATACACCCTCTGCATTCACTATACACATTCTGCACTCACTACACACTACATTCACTATACACACACTCTACATTCATTACAAACACACTACATACACTGCATTCATTGTACACACTCTGCACCTCACTACAAACACACTAAATTCATTATACACAATTTGCACTTACTACAAACACACTGCATTCACTATACACATTCTGCACTCACTACACCCTACATTCACTATACACACCTGCATTCACTACAAACACACTACATACACTGCATTCATTGTACACACTCTGCACTCACTACAATCTCACTACATTCATTATACACACTCTGCACTCACTACAAACACACTACATTCACTATA